TATTTCAATCTCTTTAATTAATAAGGAATTCTACTATGGATTACGATGAGATACCAAGATCGTCAAATCTTTAAAGGAAAATTTGCAGTTACAGTATCAAAATTTTAATTTAGTTGCAAATTTTTCTCAAACTTTTCATTTATGTCACTGATGGTTTCAAACCTTTAATTAAAGATATGATGAATTGTTGATTAATTTTTAAGGGGCAAATGAGTAGTTTTACATTTTTCATATAAAAAATTAAAAAAAATACCCAATCATCTTCTCTACTCACCCAATTAAAACGGGTAAATGGATTCATAGACGCAGAAAAATTCTTGCTTACTTACAAAATCATTTCTCAGATAATAGCTGGTCTAATAGAGATTTTCTTGGTGTTCCTCTTCTCAGATAAAAAGCCCTAATTCAAGAAAATAAAAGAGATTTTCTTGATTCCTCTTCTCCACGCGTGGTTAATAATCATGAAATTCTTGAAGCCCAAATTCAAGAAAGTAAAAGAGATTTTCTTAGTTCCTCTTCATCGCATGTTGATAATAATCAGGAAATATTTGGAGGCCAAATTCAAGAAGAAAATGAAATTTTCTTGATTATTCTTCTCCACCCCAATATCGCTTTGCTTTTGACTAGAAGCAGATATGCTCCCTACGGGTGTTCATCATTGGCCAATCGGTTTTGGGGTTCTCCCCCATTAGCTACAGCATAAACAGTGAATAAAACAGAGGGAAGCAAAAATAAAGAATGAATTTCAAGAATTAAAAAGCCCATGTTGTGAAAATGTAACGGTTGAGTCAAGAAATAGTCATGAAGGAAAGACGTATCAATTTTGGCTAGTCAAGAAATAGCCACGCGGGTGTGTAAGGCCGTTAGCTAGTTTTTCAATTTTAATCTCTACCGAAAACGTCTTAAATGTGACACTCGGGAATGAAAAAATTTCATATCTCAAATATTAAGCATATGTTTGAATCACATTTTTGGCTAATAATACATTTTGGAATAGTAAAGTGATTGATAATGTGTAGTTAAAAAATAAGAAAAGATTTTGAAATAGTAAAGTAACAGATAATGTGACATGATTTATGTTTTTTTTTTTTACTTTCTTTTTTAAATATTGAAATTTGAAACCTTTTGGCTCTGTTCTCTTTACTGTTTTCGATTTTTTAAAACAGTGAAAACACGTTCTCTTTTCCGTTTTCAAAAACAAATTTTTGAAAAAAAAAAAAAAAATTGGCCTGAAAACTCAAAACATCAAAAAAGACGTTTTGAGTGTTTTTAAGCCAAAACAATGGAAAATCAGAAAACACGCAAAACGGCTCCCTCTTTCTCCAACGTTAGAGAGCCAGAAAATCCCCTGCCTTCTTCCGACAATCGACCACCACCCGCCACTGAGACAACCAGACGCTACTACCATTCGAACCCCTCACCTCCATCTTCAACTGTTTGTCATCACTTGGCCATGGAGTCGCCGAAAAAAACCCTAATCACCACCTAAAACCGCGCTACTAGTCACGATTTTTCTCCATATTTCCACCGCCGTCGGCCACCATTTCGATTGCCGACCACCACCACTCCACTCCTCTCAATCAAGCGCATCCAGCACCACCATGGGTCACCTGCAATTTTTTCCAGAATCGAGTAAGCTTGCGAAAATTGATGATTTATTTGGTTTATCCCTCTACTTAATTTTGTCCAGAATCAAGGGAACCCTTATACTATCTTTCTTCTCCATTTTCTCTCTCTCTCTCCCTTCTCTTAGGCACATGTGTATTCAGAGAATTTATTTACTCATTTGTAGATTAACAATTGGCTGTGTGTTCGTGGCCAGTCCATATTTAAAAGATGGACTTGAGCAGAGCCAAAATGGGGTGATTATTGGGGTGATTGTTTGGATTTTCATAGTGAATTGGCATAGAATTGAGTTGACTGTGAGTATAATTGGGGTAGCTTCCGATGCAGTGTCAAAAAACTTAGGATTATGTAAAACTATGGAGTACTCAATTAGATACTTTTTAAATTAAAGATTGATTTTAAGTTTTGGTTAAAATCTTGGCATGTATATCAGATCATACTGTTGTTGTTGGCTAAACCCATTTTTCAGATTCCTTTAACTCAGAAATTAATTTCACACGCCAATTTTTGATCTTGTCAAAAGAAGACCACATGGGAAGAGAGTGTTGGGGATTGACATAGTGATTTGGTGGGATAGAAATGAGAATAAATGGAAAGTGTTTGATGATAGTTGTCCTCATAGATTGGCACCATTGTCTGAAGGAAGGATTGATCAATGGGGTAGGCTGCA